GGTGTGTAATGTCTCTGCTCTGGGGAGGCCGCCCTGAAAGATCGGGTCATTAATTCGCACTTATTCATTCACTGATTTTTTTTTTTGTTGTGGTTGTGATCGATGACATCCATGATTCAACAACTTCTTTAATGGTTTTGCTGAGAGTGACACATTTTGAGGGGGGGGGTAGTTAGTTAGATTCCTGATTTTTGTTGGGGGGGGGGGGGGGTGTGCGTTAGATGTCCTGTAACTTTGATTTCTGAAGATCAGACAGAGATGTTGATTCAGTTCCTCGGTTTTCACATCAATTGAGTTGGAAAAGCTTAGTTATAATCGAGTGTCAATTCCTCCAGGCCTATAACGTGACCACAATATTGTGCTCTTCCAATTCTGGTTTCTTGTACATCGTCAGTTTTTTTTTTCACTCCACCATGGGTACCCAGACCATCAGCTGCCAATGTGCTCGCGTTAATTTCTAAAAACTGATCTGCCCATCCCTCTCTCTCTTTTAGGATGTTCCTTAAAACTTATACCTAATAGAGGATTAGCCTAGTCCTGTGGCTTACTGGTCAAGTGACATTACCACTATTTACTTGAGACGTTAAAAGAGCTACGTAAATGCAAATTGTCGTTGAGATGTTTCCTGGACCTAGGGATGGGAAATAAGTGTTGGCCTAGCCAGCAATGCCCGCATCCTGTGAAAGAAAAAAATTCTAAGGATCATAAAGGATACATCGCTATTTTTAATTCATTCACAGGATGTTGACATCCTGGCTAGGGAAAATGGAGAGCCAGGCTGTCCTTAAAGGGTATGTATTCAATTTGAGATATTTGTGCAAGGCATTTGAAAGGAGTCGGCTTCTTGGGCTAAATAATGTTTTTTTTAATGCTTCATCAGTGGGTACATTTTAAAAACTACTTCATTGGTTGTGGAGCATTTACCGATCTCCTGGGATCATAAAAGATAAGAACAAAGAACAATACAGCAATATCCTTCAGCCTTCCAAGCCTATGCCAATACATTTTGCCTTTCCAAACTCAAACCATCTTCACTTAGAGGATCCATATCCCTCTATTCTCTACCTATTCGTGTATTTGTCCAGGTGCTTCTTGAATGCTGCTATTGTGTCTGCTTCCACCACTTCCTCTGTTGGTGTGTTCCAGGCACTCACCACCTTTTGTGTGAAAAATGTGTCTTGCACATCTCTTTTAACCCCCATCCCTCTCCCTAGCACCTTGAACCTGTGTTCCCTAGTAATTGACCCCTCTACCCTGGGAAGAAGCCTCATACTTTCCGCTCTATCCATGCATTCACAATCTTATAAACTTCTACCAGGTTGCCGTCAACCTCCTGTGTTCCAATGAAAACAAACCCACTCTATCCAACTTTTCTTCATAACTAAGATCTCCCAAACCAAGCAATATCCTGGTAAACCTTTCCAGTACCCACTCCATCCACTTCCTCTAATATATGCAAGTAGATACTATAATCTTTTGCTGAAAATATAGTTTCCATTTGTAGTTAACTACCCGATGCAGACCAGAATGGAAGGTTATGCTGATGGGATTTGATGAAGTAGGGTTAGAGGAGCCTTGTGAAGAATATAAATGTTGGTGTAAACCTGTATAACAAATGGCCTGTTTCTGTTCTGCATATTTGAGGTACTTTTATATATCTTTAAAAAAATTTGCATTTGTTGTCCACCGTAAGATTGGAGTTTGTGCTATGGTGTAAGGCATGGAGCCCTACTCTGGCATGGCAGTCTCTGTGACATTTGCTGCAGAGAAGACAATGAATTAAGAAGGTGCATGATTTACTAGCCACTTTTTCAACTTGCTCAGCTTTTCTTTCTGCATGTCTCTTCCAATTATCCTCCAAATAGCCAGTATCCAGAGGTCACAATAGTCAATATCTGTCTCCCAGTTTTCAGTGTCCCTGTAGTATGAATGCCCAGAAGATTATGACCCAATGGCCACTTCACCATGCATATGGCAGTCACCCATATGATGAACATGGCTGAGCTATTGCAGTTGCCCTTGGCTTTGTGATGAGTTTATGCTGATGGTATGAACATTCTCTAGGACCTCTGAATTGTGACCTTGTCCTGCCAAGAGATACCAAGAATATGTCTGAGATATTGAAAGTGGAAACTATTCAACCTTTCTCCAGCTAACATACGTTGTCTAGATCTCACCCCTGCAGAGCAGTGCACGAAGATGCAGGCCTGGTAAACTCTCAGTTTAATATACTCATTCAGTTTGCTTTTCTTACAAACTCTCTTCCTCAATTCGGACACAACAACTGCAGCTTTTGCTGTTTATGCATTGACTTTAGCATCAAGTGGGCAGATTGCTCATGAATGTGGTGCTTTTAAATGTGAAGCGGTCAATAACTTCGAGGATTATATCGTCGATATAGATAGATGGTGGTGTCGAAACATTTTTAAAGAAATCATTCATGGGCTGTGGACTTTGCTGGTTGGGTCAGTATTTATTGCCCATTTCTACTTGCTATTTGGGAGGGAGTTTCAGGATTCTGACCCAGTGACAGTGAAGGTGCTGTGATTTGTTTCCATGTCAGGATACTGTGTGGCTTGGATGGGAACTTGCAGCTGGTGATGTTCTCATCTATCTGCTGCCCTTGTCCTTCTAGATGGTAGTGGTCACGTGTTTGGAAGGGCCTGTCTAAAGAGCCTTTGTGAATTCTGGACCACGACATTTGCCTTCGTGATGCTGATTGTCAAACCCAGCTCTCTATAGATGTGAGATATCTAAGCATTTGTCTACTGTTCCTGACCATGGAACACCAGTGTAACATTGTATGAATTGAACAAGCCTCTGATGAGGATTTGAGGCCCCTTTGTTTTGAATCTGAGGTGAGGAAGGCTGAGTAGCTTTCTGTCAGATTTGGAATGTAAGTAGATAGCCTCTGTAGATGACCTGACAGCATGTGACAGCAGGAAAGATAAAATGCTAAAGCGTGTCGGAGCTAGAACATAACCCTGTTTACTCCCATGTAGAACTCAAATGATTCCTATTTTGTACTAGCAAGGCTGATCTTGTTTATCATCTTGCTTTCGTGAACGTTTTCTCCAGCATAAATTAATAAATCATTGGGGTAGCGCATTGGAAATCAAGCCCCGGTATTCCGGCTGTAGTCATAAGTGCTACGTTCCCAAATTTATCTGAGATTCATACCTAGTTTGATGGAAAACACAGACTAAGTTTCAGTTCTAAAAAAGAATTGCTATTTATTACAAATAAAGAGGTACTAACTGCAGATGAACAGTTATGAACCATCGACATATAACTCTATTAGATAAAACTCTAACTGATGTATAAACTCCCCCCGCTTCACACATATAAAGACGGACACAAATCACCACAAGAAAAGTGGGTGTCATGGGTGGATGGAAGGACTGGGAAGGCAATTCGGTAATCCCTGTCCACAGGGTTTGCTGAGAGAGTTCTTTTTCTAATCAATGCTACTTCTTGATCTTCCTTCTCCAGATACTTTCACTTGTTTGCAGGAGGCATGGTATGATCTGTTCACACTTATAAAGGTCTGATACTTATTAATTAAAAGTCACATTTTGGGCAAATAAACTGGCTATCTTCAGGCTTCAGGCACTTTTCACCCTCGAACAGAAACACAGCTTGTTCCCTTCCGGTGGTCTGATTGTTTTGCCAAACATTCATACTCTCGAATTGTTTGGTTACCTGGGTGCGAATCACATTGATGCATGCAGGCAGGAGGCCTTTGTCATCGATAACAGGTCACTTGTCTAGAGACCAAACAGCTACTTTTTGGCGAGAGCCCTGTTTATACACAGGCACCCCTGCTCCTGCTTGTCTGTAACCAGGCTTCCATCACAACTTGATCAAGCAGCTATGTGAACAACACTTACAATTTAGTATCAAGTTACTTGCTTTTTAAAAAGTGCAGCAACCGTTCAACAATTCTTGGCTTTTAAATCAGTCCTTTTCCCATTTTAGTCTGCAATCAGAAATACTGAAAAATAGAGACATGTTCTTTACAAAATATACCACGCCAGCTCAATTGTCAAGTGCCTTGTGGGATCAGTGAAGGCAATATATTGGTTCATGGCATTTCTTTTGCAGCTGTCAGACTGAGAAGACCATGCCAACTGTAGATCTATGGTTCTGAAACCACCCTGGGATTCAGGATAGACACGTTCAGCCAGGATCTGCAATCTGACGAGGACGACATGGGCAAATATTTATCCTGCGATGCTCAGCAGGGGGATGCCTCAATAATTATGGTTTGCCCTTTTTCACATGCGGGGTAACAGTCTTCGCATAATGTGTGTCCTGAGCACATCCTGCTCCAGTACAGACAAATAAGTACATGCAGATGAGTTTTCCATTTTTGATGAGTTTAGACTGTGGTGTATCAGTGTGGAACGTTGCTAATGGCAAGTGAGTCAGTAGCTTTGCAAAGCTGTGGGTTCAACATCCAAGTGTGCCATTTCCTCAAAGATTTCCTTAA